GCTCACTCCTTCCCCTCTCCCCTGCCGGCCGGGTCACCCCTAACTGCCCCCCGAGGCCAGCCAGGTTGCCCCCAGCTGCCTCATCCCTACTGGCCTGGTTGCTCCTAACTGTCCCCCCAGCTGACCTGGTCACCCCTCACTGCCCCCCCTGCCAGCCTAATTGCCCCCTGCTGGCCTGGTCACCCCAATTTCCCCCGCTGCCAGCCTGGTCGCCCCACACAGCCTGCTTGTTCAGTTCTTTGGTCATCCCCCACTAACCCCCCTGCCGGTCTGGTTGTAGGCAGCCATCTTGTGAGGGTGTGAGGGTTAATTTGCATATTACCTCTTTATTATATGGGATTATGGAATAATTGTTTCTTCCCTTTTAAGAGTCTCATGCTCTACTGACTGAGCTAGCCGGGCGCGGTTGTTTCTTCCCTTTTAACATTTAAAACTCTAAATGGCCCAAAGAGGGATTTTTCTAATGGAGTTGGTAAGAGCCCCAGTAAAGGAATTGTTACTGTCACACCTGCTGGTATCTGCTGTTTGCTGCTGAGTGACACAGTGAACATCCCTTCCTTCTTGTGGTGGAAATGACATCACTAAAGTCTCATTCATGTGGAGCTTGGAATATGTGCCTCTCTTCTAGCTAAAGAGAAAAGATCATGCCTAGCTGGTGTATAGCTCAGTGGTTGAGTGGCAACCTATGAACCAGGAGGCCATGGTTTGATTCCCAGTCATAGCACATGCCCAGTTGCAGGCTTGATCCACATTGCAGGGTGTGTAGGAGGCAGCCAATCAATGATGCTCTCTCATCATTGAAGTTTCTATTTCTCTCTCCCTCTCCTTTCCTCTCTGAAGTCAATAAAAATATATTTTAAAGACAAAAGATCAGCTTATCAAATGCTGAGCAGCCTTTGACTATGCTAATGTTCCAGATTGCTTTTTTACTGGGAATGATGTTTTTGGATATATTATAGAAAAATATTCTTACTGAGGTACCTCAGTTTCTATATTCTTTTGGTCTGCAGACACATTCCTTAACCCAACGGAGGGCTGTCCAGGGTAGAAGAAAACGATTTGATGTGTTATTAGCCGAGCACAAAAACAAAACCAGGGAAAAGGAATTGATTCGCCATCTGGACTCTCAGCAATCAACACAGCCTCTCAGGGACCCGCATCTCGCCCCTTCTAGAACTTCACAGGAGCCACACCAAAACTCTCATGGAGTGATTCCTTCTGAATCAAAGCCTTTCGTAGCTAGTAAACCTAAACCTCACACCCCCAGTCTTCCAAGGTAAGCCAAGTTTTCCATCTCTTCCTTCCTCCTTCCAAGAACAGACTTGGAGACCGTATAAGCCCCAGTGTGGGCATGCTGTCCAGGGGTGTCCATCAGGCTCACTCTTAGAAGATGAGATGGTTTTAAATTGGGTTTTACTCTTAAGTGGGGAAAAAAATGTTGAGTTCAACATTGGGCTTTTCTTGGCCCAATGCAAGCAGCAGAATAAAGCTAGTATTATCTGCTCCACGCCTGCTCAGTGTTACATGTCTCTTCAGGCCACTGAGCAGGTGACACTCGGGTCCCGCCTGCAGGTTAGTGACTGGAACATTTCCCACAGCTTCGGCAGCAATGTCCCATCCATCTGTCTCGCTTCTCGCAAAGTGCAGCAGTGGGAATCCCTTGCTGGGGACATTCAGCCTCAGTTTTTTCAGCATCCATTTATCCACATGTTTTTTTCATTCATTCATATGGGGTTTTGGCCTAAACATGTATTAGGCATGTTAGCCACGCACTAAGCCACGGGTCAGAGTGTTTCACTGAGAACTTATACCTGGGCCTCAGAGACAGTGCTGGACTGCATGTGTGTATGTCTGTGCCTGCTACTTAACCAAGTTGAAGTAAACGACTATGTGCCCAGTTTCCTGAGCGAAGGAAGGAGAATGGCACAGAGAAGGAGGCCTCCAGTGGTGGCCATGGACAACAAGGGCTTCTGCTTAGGAATGTGCCAACTTTGTTGCCATTCCTGCACTTTCACACTCACATTTCCGAGCCTTGAAGTTGTCGCATGAGGGGTGGAAGTGCCTCCCTCATGGAAACCCCAGTGTGAGCTTGAGCCTACCCCCACACGAGCCCTCTGGTTTCTGAGCAACACCATGGCCGGGCAGTTGAGGAGGCTCTCAGAGTGTGGCCAGGTCCCGCCAGGAATCCTTAGAAAGTCCTTCCTTTGGCCATCTTCTCAATGACATTTTCCAACTAAAAAAATAAACTAAATTCTAGAACCATCAGACAGGGAGGAAAAACACATTGCTGTCTGAGTAGCAGGCTCTCAGGTCGCTTTTTCACATAAAGTAATAATGCTACCTAGTCATTTTATCACCTCCTGTCCCTCTTCGGTTATTGTAGAGCATTTTGTCATTCATTGCCTTAGTAACCCAGATCCAGGTGACATTTGAAGAGGAATCAAAGGTTCTTTTAAATTCCCTATACATTTCCGTCCTTTGGGGAGACTAGGAGGAGAACCTGAGCCCCCTCGTGGCTGTAGAAAGGAAAGCTAGTTAGAGGTCACTTGGGCTAGACCTGGTGGACCGCTGCAGGTGACATCCTGCAGTTCAAGGGAGAGGATCCTGCACTCCCAGCCACCTGCTCAGGTTTGCCCCATGCGAGGGGTGGCCCTGGCCCCCTAGATGGTTTTGGATACGTTGTTGTATCTGAATTAAGGCGGCTGATTCTCGGGCGTGTGATCTGATCAGTGCTGCACTTTCTGCTCACCAAGGCCTCCAGGCTGCCCTGCTCAGCAAGGTGGGAGTGCCCCCATTGACCCTCCTCCAGTCCATGAATCTCCACACCCTCCCCTGCCTGCCACTGAGCCAGCTTCTCGGTTATCCAGTGAGGAGGGAGAAGGCGATGACAAAGAAGAGTCTGTTGAAAAACTGGACTGTCATTATTCAGGTCATCATCCTCAGCCAGCATCTGTAAGTTCCACATCCACCCCACATCGATCCTCCCCACGCAGCAGGGACGAGACACTGCAGGGGGGCGCGCCAGGGACCTTGGCATGCCCGTATGCGTGGGATGCGGCAAAGGTGTGAGAGCAGCTCAGAACAGGGTGCCCCAGAGGTGGCATGCACTGTGTCCTGGGACGTCTCATGCTTCTCCCTTTCTCTCCATGAACCTCAGGGCAGGCATTGTCACGCTCATGCTTCACAGCCTGTGGTGCTCAGAGTAAGCTCTCATGGTAGCTCCAGGCCTGCAGGAGAGACCCTCCCGGTGCCGCTGTCCGAGGTAGCAAGCATGGCGCCTCTGCTCTTTCTTCCAGTTTTGCACATTCGGGAGCCGGCAGATTGGAAGAGGCTATTATGTGTTTGACTCCAGGTGGAACCGGCTTCGCTGCGCCCTCAACCTCATGGTGGAGAAGCATCTGAACGCGCAGCTGTGGAAGTGAGTGCCCGTCTCACTGCCTCTGGGATGGGAGGGGGACGCCCTTTATTTCTTGTGGGACTAATTTAATGAAGATAAATGGATCTAAATGAAAGCATGGCCTTTGAGTAGCCCTAGAAAAAGGCCCCTTCTCATTCATTCATTCACTCTTTCAGCAAATATGTCTTGTTCTGGGTGCTGGGGTTCCAGGCCCAGGTATGGAGCCCTCATTCTGGTTGGTGGAGAAACAAAAACCAGTAAACAGAAACTGGAGACAGGTGATAGCTTGTCATAAGAGAGGTAACCACGAACACTGACTGAGAGCTTACTGTATGCCATGCAGCGTATTAAATATATTTAATATTTACCTTTTGCTTTGTCAGGTGACCTCCATTATCTCCATTTTACAGATAATGAGACAGAAACAAGGTCACACAGCAAGTTAGTGGATGGGCCAGCATTTGGACCCAGAGGCAGTTTGGTTCCAGGCAAAGAGCTGACATGGAAGACAGAGCAGGCCAGGCTTCAGGAAAGGCCCTCTGAAGAGGCGAGCCTTGATCCTGAACTGAGCTGGCTGGCTGAGGAATGGGATGGTAGGGAGGAGAGGGTGCCAGGCGGAAAGAACCCTGTGTGGGAAGTCTTGAGTCAGAATAGACTGTGATTGATTTGAGAAAGAGCAAGAAAGCGAGCCTGGTGTAAGACCAGGTCCGAGAGGCTGCAGGGCCACATGGCGCCGCCCCGGCTCCGAGGGGAGTGGCGCTGCTGCAGGTTTCAGGTGGTGGAGCTGGTGTGCTGGTCTTGTGTGGCATTTCACATGCTAGTGTTTCCCAGATGGGACTGCAGGTGGAAGGAGAGTCCACGGCCATTCCTAAAGGGCTTCTCTGGCGCTGTAGTGGGCACTATCCATCGTTACAACCTCAAAGCAGATGGCCTTTCTAGTGTGGACCATCCCTGAAGCTCTTCTGACCTGGGAACCTTTCAGGGGAGCATCTTGGGAACCAGTGTTTGGAAAGTACTGAGCTTTGTGAAAGGGAGCTGGCCAATAATCCATAGGCCCTCTCCAATTCCTGTTGGGCATCATGACTAGTGCCTCCCTGAATGGACTCTGCCAGGACATCCATTTGCCTCCCTTGGTTTCCTAATAAAGTTGAGTGAAGCCCACAATTTACAGAACTATCTCCATGGTCATTAATAGGACTTGCATGTGTTCACTTAGAAAACCAGAGGCATGCCACTCTGCTTTCTCTTCCTGTGTGTTTTCCTGGTTCTTAGGAGATAAGAGCCTCCTCTTCCTTCTTTATGACGTACCTGAAGCTCATTAAACTGTGGGTATTGTCCTCCTAAGGGTTTAGAGGGGTCTTAAGAATGTTTTATCGTCAGAATATGGACAAGTGGATTATGGGATTAGGCGAGCAGTTTGGATGAAAGTTTCAGTTCCTAGTGGCTGTGTGGAGAGGTTTTCCTCTCTGTACTGTGAACTTCCAAAGAAGGAAGGTCACGACTTTGAGTTTGTTCTCTCTCTCCTTCTCCCCTCCCCTTCCCATCCCCACATACAAATGTTTGTTTTTAAGAGAGAGGGAGCTTTTATATATTTTAAATTAATTTTTACTTATTTCAGGGAGTGAGGGAGAGAGAGAAACATAATGATGAGAGAGAATCACTGATTGGCTGCCTCCTGCACGCCCCCCACTGGGACTCAAGCCTGCAACCCGGGCATGTGCCCTGACTAGGAATCGAACCATGACCTCCTGGCTCATAGGTTGACATTCAACCTCTGAGCCACACCATCCAGGTTAGACAAACTTTTTTATTAGTTGCTTCTATATCTTTGCAAAGTTCATTTATGCAAACAAGTCAATATGCCATAGTCTTTTTTTGTTTGTTCTTCCTACAAATGGTAATGAATGACTTATCAGAGCTTTTAAAGAGAGAATCCAGTAATGTAATCTAGGGAGAGCCACAAACTCCCCTCCCCTACACATGCGCGCGCACATCCCCTACACACGCACACACACACACACCCCATGCTTCTTCATTTCCCAGGACCTGGTCCAGCAGCAGCCTGGTCTTTAGGCCTTGCCTGTCTCAGCCACCTGGTGGCCATGAGAAGCCACTGCAGGAGCCCTGTACTTCGTTGAGAGCAGGGCTTCTCAGAGGTGCTGGGACCTTGTGGGGACACAGATCCCAATGAAGTAGGTGTGGAGTGGGCCCAGGGCCTCAGCATTTGTACTGAGCTCTCAGGTAATGCCGGGCACTGCCCTCCATGAGAGTACAGGGACGGGTGAAGCTGGTTTCTCAATCTTGAGTTCATGTTGGGATCTCCTGATGCCTGGGCCCCACCCCCATGGACTTGAGAAGCACCACCAGGGCCAGAGCCACATATTTTTTTAATTGATTTTGTAGAGGGAGAGAGGAAGGGAGCGAGTGGGAGAGAAACATCAGTTTTGTTGAGCCACCTTTTCATGCATTCATTGGTTGACTCCTGTATGTGCCCTGACTGGGGACCAAACCCACAATCAAGATGACACTCTAACCCATTGAACCACTTGCCAAGGCCAGAGTCACACTCCTGAATGGGAGTTTTAAGGCTGCTGCAAACACTTGCAATCATTAGTTCCTTTTATTAGTAACTATAGTTTCTTAAAAGCATGTGGAAACCTTAGGCAGCGGTCTAGCCAACTTTCTCGCTTGAACGATGAGGGAGCTGGTCAGCCAGCGCTGCCTATAGAGCCAGGGGCAGAGCGGTCCTGGGGCTCGCCACCCATCAGGCAGGCCACTTTCGAGGCAGCACCTCAGTGCTTACTCTGCCATAGGTGTTTTGAAATGTTGGTGCTGTCACATTTTAAAATCAAAGCTAAAATAAAAGGGGCCTTCCTGTTTTGACTATTTAAATGACTCCTGTCCCCAAATAAATATCTTACCAGACATCATTAACAGAATACACTGTTTCGGCACTGTGACTGAAGTCCCAAGACTTGGGGCTGAAGTTCATAGCGTCATTCAGGCCAGTAGTTCGGACCAGCAGTTGTTATTACTTAGCTGTTACTACCTTCCTCACTTGTTAATTCTCTCGGCGTTCAGAGCCTTCTGTGTTCCCGGCACTGTGCTGGCTCTGCTGTCAGCGGTGAGTAAGTTGCGGGTGGCTCGTCTGCAGAGGGTCCAACAGTGATAGGCAGGTACACAGTGGAGACAGAGTCCGGGACGGAGCAGTGGGAGTCCCTGGATGGTCAGGGTGGGCTTCCTAAGAAAGGGATGGTGGACTGAAACGAAAGGCGGAACAGCAGTTGGGGTAACAGTGTTCTGGGCAGGAGATATGGGAGTCTCACATTGTTGCCTATTTTCGGAACAATCGACAGCTGGAATCAGGGCTGGGGGTGAGGGCACGGTGTGAAGCTGGGCGGTAGCAGCTGGGAGGCACACGGGACCTGCGAGCCCAGGGGACTCGCAGCTTTAAAACTCCCATTCAGGAGTGTAACTCTGGCCTTGGCAAGTGGTTCAATGGGTTAGAGTGTCAGCATTAAGGAGCCGAGGGAGTGAGCCTCTGACAGCAGCGTGCCTCTCAGCCCCAGCGATGCAGTGGTGACGTCTGGATGTCCGGGAGGGGCCACGCTGACCAGGACTCCCTGTCCTCTCCTTTCTGCAGGAAAATCCCACCAGTTCCCAGTACCACCTCACCCATCTCCACCCGTGTTCCTCACCGGACAAACTCAGTGCCCACATCCCAGTGTGGGGCCAGCTGTCTGGCAGCAGCCACCATGTCTACATCCCCAGCCCTGCTCTCCTCCACCTGCATCTCCCCAAACAGCAGATCGGTACCAGCTCACGGCACCACACTAAATGCACAGCCTGCCGCCTCCGGGGCCATGGACCCCGTGTGCAGTATGCAGTCCAGACAAGTGTCCTCGTCCTCATCCCCGTCCACGCCCTCCGGCCTCTCCTCGGTGCCCTCCTCCCCTCTCTCCAGGAAACCTCAGAAGCTGAAGTCCAGCAAGTCTTCAAGGCCCAAGGAGTCTTCTGGGAGCAGCACTGACTGTCACACCAGTGGCAGCCGGACCAGCGGCACCTCAGGGAAGAAGCGCAAAGCTGGTTCCCCACCGTTAGTTCACTCTGCCTCCGCCGCCGCTGCCGCCGCTGCCTCTTCGTCTCATTCCATGGAGTCTTTTAGGAAGAACTGTGTGGCCCACTTGGGGCCGCCCTACCCCTGCACAGTAACATCTGCCCATGGCGTTGGCCTCAACTGCGTGACGAATAAAGCGAACTCGGTGAGTGTCCGGCACGAGCAGTCGGGGCGGGGCGCCCCCGGAGGGAGCCCTGCCGAGTCCATCAAGAGGATGAGTGTGATGGTGAACAGCGGCGACGCCACGCTTTCCCTCGGCCCGTTCATCCACCAGTCCAGCGAGCTGCCCGTCAATTCCCACGGCGCCTACTCACACCCACACACTCCTCTGGACAAACTCATAGGAAAGAAGAGGAAGTGCCCGCCTGGCTCGAGCGGTGTCAGCAGCAGCAGCAGCAAACCCACTAAGGTTGCCAAATTGCCAGCCATGAACAATGTCCACGTGAAACACACAGGCGCCAGCCCAGGGGCACCAGGACTGACGAGCAGCTCCTTCCTTCATCAGGTAGGAAGCGGGCTGGGAGCCATCCTCTCCCTTGACATCTTTCTCCAGCATGGGCATCTGTGTGGTTGGGTTGGGTGGTTTGCCTATAAATAGAATGTCTAGCTTTCTGGTATCTTTTAAGAAAAGGAAAAATTGTGGCCATAGAAAGGTAAAACAGGCTTTTCTTTGCCAAAATGTCTGACGACCTGGACGCTGGTCCTGGGACAGAAAGCTTCGGCCATGCATTTCAGTAGATAGGGCCATGGAAACCGTCCTGTGTGACAGCAAGATCCCTCCCCCAGCCAGCGAGCGGAGTGCGGGGAGGGCAGGCCGCGGGGTCGCTGTTCAGGAAGGAGGCCGGCTCTTTCCTGGAGAGCAGTTCCTAGTGTGCTCCTCGGAAGGAAGCCGGGCTGACAAACTGACCTAGAAAGGGATGATCTAAATTTTGAAAAGAAAGCATTTAATATTTTTCCATCAGAGAATTTTACATTTTCTGGTTTAACACTCTCTGTATATTTTCCCCTTCCTGTTTTCCAGGGAGGCAGAAAAAACATGAGTAAGCATAGCAAGGAGACAACGCCCCTAAATTCATAAGTTAAAAAGAAATCTGACAGTGGTGGAGTTATGCAAAGTGGCTGCGTGGGTGTTGGGTTCTTAATTAACCGTGGCTTTCTGGCTTACGATGTCTGTCTGTCCCCCCACCCCTCCACCTGTCACTGTTCTCCTGGCCTGCTCGCCTGGAGCCATTCCTCAGCCTCCTTTGCTCTCACATTCAGCTCATCTCTCATCTTGTTTCATTCATCAGGATATCTCCTCACCTTGCTCACGAATAGGAATTTCAGCAGCATCACCCCAGAGCCCTGATGTAAAATGTGAGGCTCTTTTGTTTGTTTGTTTTTTCTGCCTCACCTTCAGAACCTAACTCAAATGCCAGGTTAGGACTGTTCCAGAAAACACCAAGGAGTTTCTTACTGTGATAGAGTTTTCCCCCAGTGCCTGCGTGAATTACACGCAGTGCCAAAATGATGGGGGGAAGAATAATCCATGAATTTAAATAGCAGCTGCTTGAATTCTCCTCTCTGAGCCTGAAATACACCTGGGCTGTTTGTGTGTTGTCTGGTGCTTTGAGCAGGGGTCCTGGACAGGTGATGGTGTGCTTGTACTTCTTGGTTTGTAGTTACTGCTGACATGTCGTTTATAAGCATAAAACTGCAGTGCAGACACCTCAAGAAATGGTATCCCCGCAGGAGGGCTGTTCCACTGTGTGGCGATGCCCAGTCTATTCCTGAGTGCAGTCTGCTTCATGGAGACGTGGCCACAGACCTCACGCCCCCAGGGACAGGCAGGCGCAGCGAGCAGCAGCGCCGGGACGGGAGTGGAAGCCCCATCTGCTGCTCTTGCTAACTTGTTACCGTCTTCAAGTAGATACTGCAGGTCCAGACTTGTGTGAGAAATTGGGCCACTTTTTAAAGCTATGTTTGTTTTTAAAGCGAAGGGAGCCCACACAGGCTAAGTTTGCCAACTCTGGTTTCCACCATCTCGGGGGGCTGTCCCAGTAGGACAGACAGCCTACATTTCCATTCTGTTCTCTAAATTCATTTCTACAGCTTTGTATTTGAGAATTATTTCCTCTGTGCTGTGGATTACTTTTTATTATGCTGCACAGATGCTGCTGGGACCCATGGCTAGAAATCAGAGGATCTGTGAACCCCAAAAAAGTATTGCCTGTTTTTATGTCTGTGCTCATTTACTGCAAGAGGGATCCTTTCATCCAAATTTCAGAGGGACCCATGACTCCAAATCCTTTAAAGAACGCTGCTCTGAGAAAAGCGGCAATCTTGCCTCGCTGTGCCTCACGGAGCCGACCTTAAAGGAGAGATGACTGAGCTGGGCGAAGCCCCTCCACCAGGGAACAATGCGTGGCACATGCTGGGAGCCCAGAGATGGGGCTCCCCTGCTGTTCGCCCTCACCAGCATGGGCTCTGCCCTGTGTGAGTGTTCCCACCTGTGTGGGCTAGCCAATCTCACCTTGTTCAGTTCTCGTGACAACCTGGAATAACTTCCCTGAAAAACAATCAGTAAATAAAACCAAAGGCAAACATGTGAACTTTTTCTCTAAGCTAGAAACCCAGTCTGCATCTCTTCCAGTTTTCTAAAACTCAGTCTTTCAAAATGATCGTGCCCAAGAACGCTGATGGTTTTTGAAAGCTAAGACCAAATTCTTCAGCTGACTGCTCCTGGCATCACCAGTCTACGCAGACTGTAGAGGCCTCAGCCTTGGAATGTTCTCGGTTATATTGGGATAGCACAGTGTACAACTGTTCACTTACCTTTTTTATGTTCTCCCTCCCCCTCTCTTTTGAAAGCCAAAGACACGTCCCTGACAACTGAAAATAGCGTGGGGAGGAATAGTCCGGACACTTTTAATGACAAGTTACACCTCCACTCAGCACCCTGGACTCCAAGATGCCTTTGAGTCTGTTTTCCCAACCTCCTGCCGGCCTCAAGGGTGGAGATCTGCGGCTGTTGTTTAACGAGGAGTTCCCTGAAGCTATGTCTGTAGCAGTGAGTACTCATAAAGGACACTGGATCAAGTTCAGCCACCGAATTGCTTCTATCAGTGTTACAGTGGTCTGGACTACTCGTTACCAATCTGTGAGAAATTTTTGTGTTGTTTTTTAACTTGCAGTATATCATGGAGCCATTCTTCGAGTAGATTGGCTGGGTGAAAGAATGTTCTGGGAGAACATTACTGTAGACTTGTCTCCCTCCCTCCTCTCCCCACCCCAGTTCTTTTCTACACTGCCCTCTGCAGGTCACTGCAGCCTTTAGGCACCTTAACTGGAGACACCTTCTGGAGGGGAGACAGCGCTCCCCTGAGCAGCCTCCGGAGGGGGAGATGAGACGGTGCGCTGTCACTGGGTTGTAACAGCGGGGTTCCAGGAACGGGATGTGGGTGTTAGCACCAGGACACCATAGCCTGTATTTTGCCCAGCATTGTGCAAGTAATTTGGGATAAGAAACTGTTTGAAGTTTCTAACTTACAGACTGGTTTAAAGTAGTGATGCCCAGAGAGCAAGCATACACCATTTTAGAGGCTTACTTTTCATGGTACAAAAGCAATTCTGTGTGACTTTTTAAAAAAAGAAAAATGCAATCTAGTTTTGATAATGGAAAGCCAAATTTGAGGAGGGTGGATAAAAATCACTATGAGAACATTTTTTCCAAGATTTCCAAAGAGGTGAAATTTTTCTATCCTTCAAGTCTTCATGATAAACAGTACGGCAGATTGGGTTGGTTGTCCTTGCCCAGTCTCCTGTTTTCCAAAAATTGCCTTTATAAAGTGAAATTATCAGGATGCAGTAGAAACTGTCATTCACAAAGTCATTAATAGACTTAACTGTTTTCAAGGCCCTCTCTGCACTCCCCTCTCTCCCCTCGGACACTGCCTGGAGGAAGGTACACTACCGCTGTGAGCGCTCTCCACACTGTGTGTGCACTCCCCCTGCCATCAGAGAGTGTGTTTGGCTGCACTGGGGTGGGGAGCAGGCGTGCAGGGTCGGGCGGGGGGTCTGAGTAGTCTGTGCACATGCCCAACACCCTCTTCTCCTGGGACTCATGCGGGCCATCTTCCTGAGAGCACGTCAGAGACCCTCCAGCATACTTCTAGTTCCCCAGCCCAAAAGAAGGAGCTTAATATGTTAAACATCATTGCTTAAGAATTTGGGGTAAGTTGGAGCTTCCTAACAGGTGGTTCTACCACCACAGCTCCTGAAAGGAGAGCCAGGCACCTGTGGACGTTGCTGAACACAGGGCACTTTTCCTGCCCGGGGCACGCCCGGCAGGCTGTCCTGCAGCCCTTCCTCCCTGCAATTCTTGGGTTACTTCTGTTTCAGGGACTTTCAGGTCAACAACAAGTGGAATGAATAAATACTTGGTTACCAGCCTAATAATGTGAATTGCTACAGAATTAATCTTATTATGTAAGAAAACAAAAACTTTATGCAGATACTTTAGCTATAAATTGATGTAAAATACTGATTTTTTTTTAAAAGGATGGGGAGAAGAGTATCTTGTTCACTTATTATGCAATCAATCAGTAAATGTTTTTTAAATGATGCTATGGCAGAGCTTAGTAAGGAGAGAGCCTGGATGAGCCAGTGCGGTGTGGTCAGGACGAATCAGTGTGGTTGTTCCATCCCAGTGGAGGGAGAGGAGGTGAGAGGGAATCAGAACGTACTTACTTGATTCCTTGGTGACAAGTGCAATGGGGTATGGGTAGAATTTATTTTCAGAGCCAAGGGGACTTGATGGTTATAAATAAAGTTGCTTTTAGCGATGGAATTTATAGACAGATCATGTTGTTCCGAAAGATGTGAATAGGATCCACAGTAGCAAGTTGGTTTAGAATAATGTAGATATATCTAGATTAGCGGTGTTGATCATTTGATTTCTTAGACTGAGGTTTTAATTGGATTTTTATTATGTCTCCCGATAGTACAAAGAGCATCGGGATTAGGAAATTAGCCATTTGGGATTCTGCCTGCCACAAACAGACATATTCTAAACAGTGCTATTAAATTTTAGACTGTTGTTCAAATATTTTATTTTCTCTTACAGCTGCTTTTTATTATGAATAGTGAAGACCATTTAAAACACGGGAGTACAAGTATTTTTTTGAATTAAATTAACTTGCAAAAACCAAATTTGCAGTGGTTGGGTTGTTTCTAGACAGACTTTGGTATCAATTTAAAACCAAGGTAATTTTTATATTCTTTCCAATAGAATTTCATGACAACTCCTGCAGTTTTCTTAACCGAAAAAAAAGTGCTGCAATGATGAACAAAGAATTATACAAAACCTACTTTTGTACCTTTATTTTGGAATTTCTTGTTCTATTATAAATATGGAAGTATCCCTATCTCAGAAGACATATTTTGTTAAAAATGAATTGTACATATTTAAATATGTATTTTTGCACAGGTCTTTTTTTCTGATATCCTGTTTTGGTACAATTGAGATCATCTAGTATTTATTTATTAATTAATAAAAGTAAATACCTTTTTATAATTTGAAGTGGTTCACTGCCAAGCCAATAGTTCTAGAACCTGCCTCCTTTGCAGTTTAAGGGATGCCTCTGTCCTGTGAACGTCTTTCTGTCCCTTTGACGTCTCGGGAGTGGATTCAGCCGATGAAGTGGGCATTGCTTCTCCCTCGTTGCCTGGCTTCCCGATGGATGACTTGTAACTAAGTGACACACTGCTTTTCTTTTGTTTTATGTGAGAGAGAGAGTGTGTGCCTGTGTGTTTGTATGTGTACCCTCTGAGCACACGTGTGTTGATATGTGATGTGGTTTAAAACTAATGGAAAAAAACTGAAAGTGCCTGAACCTAGTTTTAAGCTTAGACAGATTCTCTTTAAAAAGACTTGAATGTTCAGTTGAGCTTTTGGAGTTTGTTTTTCCACCTAAATACTGTGTCTAAAAATTTAGGAGAGGAGTTGAAACCACCTATGCTGGTCATTTTATAGGTATTTTAAAGACTTGTTGGTTCACCATAATTCAACTGGTGGTGGATTGCCCAGTGGCACCAGGCGTTACAAATCTTTTTGTCAGCCAGCATCTTACATGACGTGTCCATTTTGTTACTCACTCATGAAATACTGAGTTTAAATAGAATATTTAAATTTTTTGTATTCCAAAAATATAATACAGAGTACCTCTGAGAACATTGACGAATAATGTGTAATTTGAAAAATGTAATTTATAAAGGCAGCTGTCTTCCTGCGAGTTCGTTGCCAAGGAATTCCTTGATATCTCTCATTCTTTCCTGGGGCAAATGTTGGGCTTTGGAAAATGAATGTTAAAACTTTCATTGTTTAGAAGAAAGTAATCATTTTTACATTTTGTGCAAAACATTTTACATTTTCAGATCATTGAATGAGCACTACATACTGTCAGGTGAATGTGGGGCTTGAAAGCAGTTTGCTGTTTTTGGAGCTTGGTCATAAAAGCAATCTCCTGTGTTAAATGTGTGACTCGTTTGGTAATTGTGCACAGAATCAAGAGCATCTCCGCTGGACTTTGTGTTGGCTGCTGTATAGAATAAGAACAAATGTCAAGGGATAGAAATTACTTTGGATATTTAAAAGAGAAGAAATATATAGTCTATTTGTTTTGTAACAAGTTTCTGTAAATAAAATAATTTATACTATTTATAAGAAAAAGTTGTGCTTTGCTTTATGAGAAATTAGTTTGTGGAACAAACATGTTACTAATCGGGCAATAAAATTAGGACTTCTCAATAAATAAGGTTGGCTGCATGAACTATTTTACATGTTTTTGCCTCGTTGTGATACTAAGCCCCTTTTGTCAGCATAGCCAAGTATTCCTAAGGGCCTAGGATGCTTGCGTTCCTGGGCACAGAGCTTTGCCTTGGGTAAAGTGATAACTGTAAACAGTGAACACTACTGCCTTCTTGCCCTGCAGGTTTGTCACCCAAGGGGAGTTGATGGATTGAGAGACATCCTACTTGTACTTGTTTTTATATAAATTTGATGGCACATGGTCAGTTTGGGGCTTAGAGGTAAGCTTTTTACCCAAAGCTGGTATGGGCTCTCCCTTGTCTTTACATAGTTCTCTGACTGGCACAACACAAGTGCATTTTAGCATCACTCAAAGGGGAGCATCACCTGTCATCTCTAGAAACTGGCCGGTGTTACCATTTGCAAACAAATCATCCTAATAAATTATAAATTATTCATGTTGTTTAAAATAAGGGAAGAAACTCATTTTTTATGTAGAAAGTGTCCTTCCCTTACGTGAAGAAGTCAGGCTGGCTTCGAGCCCCCTGCCCGCGGACTTCCCATTCCCTCCTGAACCAACCAGCTACTCACATGCATTCCTGAGAAGCTCCCTGCGCATGGCCTCTTCCACCTTGGGTGTCCCCCTTAAACTTCCTGGGGAAGATCCAACCCCTCAATCTCTTACCCTTTTTTCTTCTCTTCCCTTCCTTACAGGTGGCCTAAGGAAAGCAAGAGACTATCCCGATGCAAGGAAGGGGTTGGTAGTTTTGGATCTTGGTGTGTTGGGAATTCACAGCTGAAAGGTAGGTGAGGTCATTCTGGCCAGAGGCAGCGAGCCCAGCAAGCCCAGGTGTGAAGAAATGCAGAACAGAGAGTAATTCTGGGTGCAGTTCCCTGGGAGGAGCTGATAGGGTTGGAGAAGTGGGTGCCAGATAGTGAAGGGCCTTAAATGTCACTGGGCCTTCATCTTAGGAACATACAGTTTAACCAGATGTAACTATCAGAGATTTTTGTAGGCCCAGCATTGTGCAATTGCCGAAATTAGAGAATTAAAGCACTTAAATCTTCCTTTTTCTGCATTTTGATTATCTTTTGCCTTAAACTTGTCTTTACACTTCTCTCTCTCTCTCAAGTCCTAATCAAAAAGCTCCCCCTAAACCAAGCCTAACGTCTCCCCCTTCTTGCCCCACTTTCTACTCTTACAGTTGCGTCTTTCTAATAAATCCCCGCTCCTGTCGCTGATGGAAGCGGTTACATTAGTCGTTCACCTTGTAGGGCTGTGGGTGACTTTGGTATCCATTATTCTTATTTTTTCACAACCTGAGCTGTCCAAACCCTTCGTTTTATACACGGATGGAAGGAAGGGCATCACCCTTGGCATCCTGGGCCAAAAATCGGGGCCAGACCTCAAGGCGCTGCCTGTCTTTCTAAACGGTTGGACCCCACCATTAGGGGCTGGCCACCTGCCTCTGGGCTCTGGGAACAGTGGCCCTTCTGGCCCAGGAAAGCCAAACAGTTACCTTCTCCGAGCCAGTGATGCTCTACACCCCACGTGCACTCTCAGAACTTACCACCAAAGCTGTCCTTCCCCCTCCAGGCGCCAGGCCCTTCACCGCACCCTCCTAGGAGCTCCCATGCCACCTTCTGCCGCAGCACCTCCCTGAGCCCAGCTACCTGGCTCCCCCTTCCACCTTCAGGTGACAATGAGCAGCACTTGAACCCAGACCGCCCAGAGTTTAAGCCGCCTGTTTCCCACACATCACCATGCACCTCTCCCCGAAGCAGTGGACACCTGGTTCGTAGATGGCAGAGCCCGCACAAAGCGGTCAGTGCGTGGTTGGTTATGCCATTGTCTCCCATGCCCAGACCATAGGTCAGGGCCCTTCCCCCCGCACCTCCTTGCAGAAGGCAGAACTTATCACCCTTGAGCATTAGCTCTAGCAACTGACCAGATATCTCCTCTATACCGACTCCCCTCTGCCTTTCACAGCCTCCTCTCACGCTACAATCTGAGCGGAGCAGGGCTCCCTCATACCCAGAGGGTCCCTGATCACCAACATCCACCTCGTTCTCAAGTTCCTTCATGCAGCAAGACCCCCCAAAGCGCTAGCAGTAACCCATTGCCAGGGGCATCATCTGATACAGGACTCCCTGCCCTAGGGAGCAACAAGGCGGACAGGGAGGCGAAAAGGGCAGCCACATACCAGTGTCAGAACCCCAGCTCCTAGCTGTCCCCACCCTTCAAACCTCACCCCCCCACCTCTCCATCCCACCCCCGGCACCACTGCAGAAATGTTCCGACTCACAGGCAGGAGAGCATCCTCCCCCAAGAGCAGACCCCGTCCTAGCCCAGATTACAGCTCCCTCCACTGGATGGCGCTTCCTCATCCCTTCACCCCGAACCCCATCAGCAGAAGGCCATGCACCTCGAGCACATACACAGCCCATGTTCTGCTTGCTCTCAGACCTCTCCCCAGGGGCCCTCAGAATGCCCCATCTTCCCCCAGGCCAGAGGGCACGTTCCCGGTCAAGACGGGCAGGTTGGTTTCATACACGTGCCCCCTGGAAGGCATTTCAAGTGTCTGCTACCCTTTGTAGATACTTCCTCTGGGTGGGCAGAAGCTTTCCCGCCACCCAGAAGAGGCTCCCGAGGTGGGCGAGGCCCTCGCTGAACATTCTCTTCCTGCTTAGGCCTGCCCACCTCCCTACAGTCAGGCAGTCTGGCCCTCCTCTCTAAAGTCGCCCCAGGGGTTCCACTGCCCTGCAGATCCGCTAGAGCCTACACATCCGTAGCCATCCTCAAGCCTCTGGCAACATCAAGAAAATGAACTCAATCCTGAAGCAACACCTCACTAAGTGAAGTGTGGAGGCCCAAGAAACCTGTATACCCCACTTCCCTTCGCCCTCATTTGCATTCAGTCAACCCCTCGAGCCCTCCATCCTCAGCCCTTTTGAGCTTATGTATGGCAGACCCTTCCTACTGGAAACTTCCAACCTCTTCTTGCCCTTTGGGCTAAGCTCCCTACCCTCAGCCTCCCTCACCGACCCGTTCTCCCAGGCCTCCCCCTGACTCTCCTCTTGGTCCCCCACCAGAGCCGGGAGATTGTGTTCCTCCAGGCAGCCTGCAGCACAGGGACGCTGAAGCCCAAGTGGACAGGCCCACACTGGCTACTCCTGACCACACCGACGGCAGCCCAGCTGCAGGGATGTCCATCCTGGGTCCACTCCTCCAAGTTGAAGAGAGCCCCTGCACCCCAGGCTCCACGCCAAGCAGCTTGTATCGGAGTGTCAACCTCGGACCGACTTGCCTCAAACTTACACAAATTCCTGAGGAACCGTAAGCCCTGGACCCTTACCGTAACCCCCTATGAACCAGGTTTCCCCCATCACCCTCACTGTCCTGTCTGTGCTGGTCCCTATCTCTCAGCCCCGCCCGCCCCCTCCCTACCCAGCAACCTACCGCAGAACAACCTATCCTTACTCACAGTCCCCGTTCCTCTTGGTCCCAGTACTGAACACAGTTGCTGACCTTGTGGGATTGTTATCTTCAGGGAGATTTCACAGACTTTTCTTGGGACCAAATAAACTTCTGGCTACAAGTCAACTTGGGATTAACTTAACTAGAATTTAGCCTGGGAGGCCCTCACCCTTTATTCTGGCCAGCAGTCCTCCTCAGGATCTCCCTTGTCATTTTTTGTTTTTTAATGCCCCATTGCCTATACCTCTGGTTGGAATTATACCCATCACTGTTAGAGTCTACAGTGACCACCCCCGCAGCCTTCTCCTCTTATTGTCCTCCCCATACCTTTTTAAAAATATATATATTTTTATTGATTTTTACAGAGAAGAAGGGAGAGGAGTAGAGAGTTAGAAACATCGATGAGAGAGAAACATCGATTCAGCTGCCTCCTGCACACTCCCCTCTGGGGGTGTGCCTGCAACCAAGGTACATACCTTTGACCAGAATTGAACCTGGGACCCTTCAGTCCGCAGGCCGATGCTCTATCCACTGAGCCAAACCAGTTAGGGCCTCCCCATACCTCTTAAACATCGCCTAAGTCCTCACTATCTCTCTCGAACCCTCAACACATCACTTCCTGAACACCACCAACCCCACTCGAGCGGGACTGCTGGCTCTGACTTCCCCTCATCAACTAGCAACACAGCATCCCCAACCCTCCTTACACGCGTGGGCCAGCTCCAATCGGTCTTTCCATTATAAGATCCATGCAGGGCCCCTGTTCCAACTCATGCCTCGACGAACTTTATAACTTCCAGAGCACAGACATGACAAGAGGAACGCTCACAGGCAGAGCTGCACAGTTACTCCAGTCCGATTACAATAACTGAACGCTCATCCAGCAAAGCCCCCATCTTAGGACCAGTGACAACCACACTGTCCGAGCATGTCAGGCGCCTCTGCATCAGCAGAACACTCCCTGCAGGAAAGGTTAGGACATCTTGACCAACGCTTATGCAACTTAACTCTCAACCTTCAGCCTTCCTCGGCTGGGCTAGCTATTTCGTCACCCAAATGGCCCCTTTCCTGAAACCCATTCAATTCTCGGCCTGGCCCATCGTCTCAGTGACCTTCCCAACAACCTGTACCTCCTGGCCCCTTTGCTGTGTTAGCTATTTCCCCTGGCAGAGTTACAATTCTTGTAACTTTTCCATTCAACCAGTACCTGCTGTTCTAATTACCCTGGGGAAAGAAGCAGGGCAAAAAACAAAACAAAAAAACCCTGTTACCTAAGTGGGTTGATGGGTTGATATGAAGGAGTCAACTGTCTAAATTTCTAACTAAACCTTTTTTTGGGGGGTGGGGGGGGGACGGCGGAATTACACTCAAATCTTTAATCAAGTAGGGACAAATCCCCCCCCCCCCCACACACACACACACATATCTGCCGTTTGAAGGCAAAGGGAACACATAAAAGAGGAAATTTTAGCCTGGCCAGTGTGGCTTGGTTATTTGGGCATCTTCCTGTGCACGGAAGGTTTGTCAGTTTGATGCCCTGTCAG